ATTTCGGACTCAAGTAAAAAACAGGCATTAATTACTTAAGAATATCCAGATAAATGCAGAGCTTCACTTATCTTTGAAATTGAGCTGCGCGCCTTGACCTTGACCTTGGATCGACAAAACTGCTGCAATAGCAACTTGGCCGGTAACAAAACAGGAGCAGCGAACCAAAGCGGATCATGGACGGTTGAGATATAAGAGAGCGCTGATGTTCTAGTAATCGTACCCGTAGGCTACTTGACTGTGAAATTGAATGAGTATGAAGTCTTCTTCCATTCGACACCCAGTGCTCTGTGGGTGTCGGCCGACTTAAGATCGGGTCACATTCCCCCATCGACTCGTCCTTCCTCAGAGTTGTATATGCGGACCACAACCGAATCGCTGCACCATTTCTGTTAGCGAAAACCATGATTTCGCAGAGCTGTTCGAAAGTAGGAAGATACGCCTCTAAGGGCCTGTGCACAGTCACGGCGGATCAAATAATCGTCGATGTAGAAACACTTTCGCAAGTTATTGATATTATGAACTTCAGGGGAGCCTGCCACCTGGTTTATCGGCCGAGTTATTGTGTGGATAACAACACCTGGGAAGAGGTTGCCCCAAACGGATGTAGTGTCATTTGATAAACCTCAGGAACACGTTTTAAGTCACAATTTAAGCACCACAGAAAACGCAAAAACGAACGTTGAGATTTTGGAACTGGGATGTAATGGAACATAGCTTCCATGTCTGCAACGACTACGCACGGAAACCCGCGGAATCGAGTGAAAAATCCACACAAACTGTTAGCTAGTTCTGAACCCCACCAGTAATTGGAGGCTGAGTGATGTGACCCTGTATTTGCCGGCACAGTCGAACACTACTCTCAGCTTGTCCGGCTTCATCGGATTTACTACGGAGTGGCGGGGTAAATGCCAGATTTGTCCAGAAACGGCGTCGGTGCAACGGTTACTGCGCAACCATTGTTTATGTATTAAGAGATCGCTTTAACTTATTGCTCCATATACACGGGGTTTTTAAGAGATCTGTTTTTTTTTCAAGGTATATAAACGTTTACGAGCAACAATCTCGTTGTCAGGCAAACAGGGAGAACCTAACTTCCAAGGTAGATGAATTTCCGAGTGCTCTCGAGTCAGATGCGTATGGGACTAGAACAACTGTCAAACTCTTTTGTTCTCCACAGACTGTGCCTTATCCAAGGGCTTGACGAAACTTTGACGGAATCTTTCTCGCTCGAAAAATCGACATTTGCTCCTCAGCGATCTTGCTCAGCTACAAGACCCATGAGTACCCAACCGAGAGGAGAAAGAACAGCATAGAGATCTTCCTGGTCGCCGTATCGATGTTCGAGTATCCAGTGAGCTGCATGTACATTCATTAAGATTAGTATTGATACTTTTGCTCCTTCGACAAATGGAGTTCGATGTCGCGTAGATGTTTCCAGCGTGCTGCCTGGTTTCTAGCCAAAGTAAACCGTTAAAAGTTAGGAAGATGGCTGACGAGCCAGGCCTTTTTCATCTCCAGTCGTTTTTTCCCTTCTATCAAAAGGGCGTTCGTAACGTTTGACCGAAACATTTTAGGGAGAGTTTACGACAACTTCGTTCGGCCCCACTTAGAATATGGCCTACAAGCATGGCGGCCATGACTAGTAAGGGGCCAAGCATGCCTCGAACGGGTACAACGTCGTGCAACAAAGCTGATAAACGGTCTAAAAAGCCAATCCTACACAAACAGACTGAAATGCCTTAAACTATTCCCTCTGTGTCTGAGGCAGCAAAGAGGTGATCTTATCCTCGTCTACAAAATAATGCATGGCCTTGAGCATGGACTTAGCTTTGAGGACATGTTTCAGTGGCGCCTTTCACCCAATCTTCGGAGCCACTCGATGAATCTGCGGACATCAATGTCCAGTCTGAATCTTCGTTCTGAATTTTTCACGCAAAGGGTACTCGAGGAATTGAACGATCTTTCTCAGTCAGTCATGAAGGCGACGTCTCTACAACTCTTCAAGGAACGCTTGGATGATTATTTGTGTCCCCTGTTTTCCCTCGACATTCTGAATCTGAACTAATACCCCACGACTCCCTAAATACTTTCTCAGAGACACTGCTACTCAAATTAAGCAAGCACTGTTTTAATGGCGAATATTTTCATTGTTCGTGTACAGCTATTTGTAACGAGCTGAAATATACTGAATAGGGTCTCCAAAGCCTTTGCCTATTATCCTTACCAAATAAACTGAAACGGCTCTAACTTAGCTGGATAACCACTATTTTGGAGCTTACGTCTGCTGTTTGAACGACAGTGGATACTGACAGCACTGCTGATCGGCCAGTGAAACCTAATAGTTTCAACAAGTATTTATCGATAAGCGTTGTATCTGAGCCGTTATCAAGGAAGGCATACATGGTAACCGAACCGAGAGACCCAAACAATTTAATTGGTGACAATCCCAAGGAAACGACTTGCCCTACGCCGTATGTTGTCAGACAGTCAGTTGCTTGAGAATTCAGCTCTGTGTTCTTTTTCGTCAGAGACGCGCCAGCCCCGTATTCTGATCGTTGGAGCAGTGGATGGCGGCGCATGGAGCACCGCGCGATACCACAGGTCTTGCACGACCTACAATTGATGGTGTGGGCAACCATAATGGCAACGTCGCGTCTGTCGCTAGCGCCTGTGCATACGCCCTAGCGGCAGCCTGCCTCGACACGCACGTCTGTCTGGCTTCGAATTGTCTCGTTGCAATTCACTGTCTGCACCACGCATCTGGTCGATTCTCTGCCTGCACCATGCGAGGCTTGTCACTACCCTGGCGTGGGCTCGGAGACAATCAGCGTAACTCCTCTCGCTGATTAGTTACACAGGCGGACACAGTCTAGACGATGAGGTAAACAATCTGCCACGACACTTTTGCGGCGGCGGCCTTCGCAGACACACGTCTGGTCATTCTCGCGGACGCCGCCTCCGCGACGCCGGAAGCATCCCCATCCGGTTACAAGCTTTCTCTATTATTCTGTTCAGAATCAACCTTCCTTCCAAATGGCGTCCCACTTCTCCTTATACGTTGGGATATGGTCTGAAGTTGTAGCGCAATGAGCACTCACGCACGGCTTAGCTGCTACAAAGGCATCGTGGTTGGGTTTTAGATGAAAATGGCATGATTGATTACGTTCAACGAAAGCTAGTTTTTGCGGCAGGGTGAGAACGATAAACATGCCATATTAATCGGTGTAATGGACTTCTCTGCACTGCAAACACTGCCGGCGCAGCGTCGGGGCTCTAGGTACTGTGGATGTTACTGCAGCCAGTGTGTGATGCGTATGGCCCTTATGCATCGGTCCTCGATACCCCGGGGACGATTGTGCTCTGGGAATGAACCTGAGAACTGAGACTGGTGTACAATTAATAAATCAGCTCTCCCGCCGCTCAGATCCGAGAATTTTAGCTCCCTACCAAGGCACAGTACCGATGAAGCGGATTCTGACCACCTGCAGCGAAGTGGTTGAGATAGTAGCCTGACGATTGTAGCAAGTGTTCTAGATAAATTAAAATCCGTTATGAATTCTAACTGCTGTAACGTGTTCTTGAAGTTCCTCATCTTCTCAACCAGCTTCACCAGGGTGGTAGGATCCATAGGTCTTATGACTGGACCGTCAACAACACTCGCTATGTGGACCCTAGCAATGGAGTGGGGTTGGTCGAACAGCCGCCTAAGTATCTCGAGAGCCTCATAGTACCCTTCACTATGCTCCAAAATGACACAGCTCTCAATAGCTTCCTTGGCCTCGCCCTGGCAGTAGTAGATTAGGTAGGAGAGCCGACTTTAGCACTTTTCGCAATCCCACTCCCCAGGCTTCTTAGGAACAGCCAGTATTTGAGGTTTCCGTCAAAAAACATTTTTTTTCTGCTGTGGAAGGGAGAGCTAAGAAGACATAAAGCGCTGATAGCACCTATGACAGACCGTTTTCGCAGCTTCTGGGTGCAATGAAAAGTCAAGCTCGACACTGCATGATTGCTCAGGCTCCGGATCAAATGGAGGACGCATATATTACATTACGCTCATGCAACGAAACATTGGAGTCTTCTGGCACCAAGATGAAAGAAAACCAAATTTGATCTCATTTTCACGCTACTGAAGTTCATGGTAGCCAATGATTAGTGGCAACGCATAGAAAATTATGTTTCACACAAATCCGCGACATCCATGCCGTCAGAACGACTTAGAGAAAAGTGTGTCAAAGCAGGGGCCTACACAAAGGGTGATATTTGCTCGGATGCCCGCGCTTTTTTGTTTTCCGCAAGTAGGCTGAGGCCATCTACAGTAAGTTCAAAATTTAACATAGCACCGTAATTTCATGTCTAAGCGACATCCACCAAATATTAACAACGAAAAAGTAAAGCCTGATAATATTTAGCACGTTTATAGATATCATTCAGACTTTTTTCAACTTAAAACGGAGCTGCTTATGACCCACTATTGGGTCCTGGACAGTAAACACCATGCACAGTCGTCCTGCAATCACAATAGTGACTGACTGAAGGTCAAACAGTGAGTTTCCTAATGTATCAGGCTTCTATTACATTTATTTTAAGAGCACAAGTTTTAAACATGAGTCCAAGCCCTCGAGAATCGTGCAGAGCGATATCGGGAGTTCTGGGATTTATCAAACTTACGTATACGTATGTCTGTGTACAACTCCAACGGCCCAAAGTGAACACCAGACTTTCGAAACTTCACTTTTCTTGAACACAGGCTCAGTATTCTTTGCTGAGTATAACACCCATTACGATTTTTAAAGAAGTACATCACAATATCCATGAGTCTGCAGAATCCCGAAAAAATGATGTGCTGTTACTATGACCTTCGGGCAGCATGAAACTTGTGCACTGATTTCTGTGACCCGCGGGATTTGCTTTTTGGAGAAACAGAGACCTGATTGGTTACTGTTCGTGCCACTGTTGAAATTACTCACCTTCGGTCTTTCTCTTAATAGGATTAAGCAATGATAACTGTTATACTTTCTCGCGTCATTATGTAATTTCCCGCTCAGGTTTTATAGATGTTCTTTTAGCATTGCTTTTGGTGTTCTCCTTCCTGCGTACAGGTCTTACAAGGCCTTAAAATATAGAAACGTTAAAAATATGGTAGGTTGCCTCAAATTCTTCGGTGATTATTTCGCCAGGTCCGACTCACTATGCATTGGATCGTGTTTTCAATATTCCTTGCCATTGAGGCTGTCACTGATTACGTTCTTGCTTGGTAAACTGTCGCATACTTCTCTAGCTATTATTAGGTTCCCATTCTATTATGAATTGAAGGTGTTCCTCGTCCTCTATCTCGCCCTGCCGTTCACCCAGGGTTCCAGCATTATCTACAGAAAAGTTATCCATCCCAATTTATCAAAAAGAGAGACAGTATTTTTTAATCTTTTTAATTCCCCGAACGCGTAGGAAATTGATGAGGCACTTATGCGGGCAACGGAAACGGGGTACTCTGCAGTCATGGAATTCGGAGCCAAAGGTCTTACATATGCAGCTTCTACGGTTCTGACAACCGCTATGAAGGTAATTTGCGCAATTCGTGCATTGCTCATTCAACTGTCTTGGTTTGACCCTTTTTTATTTCTGCGGCCTCTTGCGATGTAACTTGCTCCACTGAATAGCCATTAGGAAGTTCATCGAGAAATCTATCCCTCCACGTTTTGGATTTGCGCCTCTGGCGGGGCCCTTCAGAACTACGGGCCCGAGTGATTCGTGCGAACTTTATGGTTTGCCGCAGTATTCCAGTCTCGGTCCCAATTTTCCATGCGCTTTCGTTTGTGCTGATTGTATGTTATCGCCCACATCAAGACGTGTAAAGTATGTTTGGCTAGTGCCTTTTGTCTCTTTTGCCCTTTCTAAACGTCCGTCCTGTCAATTTTTAGAGTACCACGTCAATTTTTCCCATGTCTTCTTAACCGTTTGATTCAGTCGTACTGAAGTCTTCGCATGGTCTTCTCTATTCCAGGGGCAGGACTTAATTGCGAACCATATAAATCAGCGCAGCTACAGTCTAGATGATCTCTGGCGTGATCGGCGTCCTGCTGAGCGACTGGCTGCCGGAGATTCTGCTCAGGAGCCAAGGATGCGTAAGCTGAGGATTTAAATATTTTTTGACAACTTTTTTTAGTTATTGATACTGAAGGCTGTTTACTTGCTGACAATTTTTATCCAGTCTTTTCTTGTGAAGCTAGCCTACTTAAAATACGCGTGATTCGTCTGCCTTGAACCGAGCTTTGTGCAAACGATCGGTTCTCCTCTGTCCCGCTATTTTCCCGCAAAAAACAGTAAATTACCTGCAGACGTCTACACGGCTTTTCAGTCTGTGCTGCTACGACAATCGATTGTTCTGTCATTGTACTTCATTAAAACTAACTGCCCAACTCCTGGTTCCGGTAAATTTTTGTTCTGATTCCAGCCTTACAGAGTAGTCATAAAGTTTGCGGACAGACTATTATCCCAGGACCAGCTTTACTAATTCTGGCTTAGTCGTGTTGGAAACATCCATATTGAGAACACTTTGGACGATTCTGCTAAGAATCCTCAATTTCATAGGTGTTTTGCCGGTTAGTTTTTCACCCTGGCCATCAGATCATCCTCAACCGTTTCCGGATTTTATGATCATTCTGTTAAAGCGGTGGACCACATTAGAGCAGCCACTACTTTCATCCACGTAGTTTGATGCCATTATTTGTGTCCAGACGCCTTGACCAGGGTCCCCCACCAGGTAGTTTGCGTTAACTCAGACGAACCACCGGTTATAAAGTCACATGACTGTCCCACTTGTCCGGTTGTTTCACTACGCCTTGACAAAGCTCACTATCTGTGGCTCAGTGCGATACTTTGAGCAGTACGCAATTGAAGCATGCTTGTGTCACGCACATCCAGTCAAAACCCCAGAAACTGGTAAGCATTAGCTATCAAAAGATATTCTAAAACACAGTGGCAGTGGGTGAGTAGTTGTTGAATTTGACCGCAGGGACCACACAGCATATCGGAAACTTTACTCTTCCCTTCTTACCCCTGGTTAAGACGACCGTAATCATGTGCGCATTACTTGGTAACAATCGACTTGACACAGTTTTCGACGCCGCGATACGATCTTAAGAACAGATTGGGTTACGGCCATTTTCACTCTACGAGCTATTGTGACAGCGAATACCCTTTTGAAATGGGAGTTCAAATCATCGAATAAAAAAATAATCCGGTCCCTATACAGCAATGCTTACATTAGGCTCACACCTATGTCATGACCGCATTTGATCTTTTCCAACGCTTGCCGTGTAGCTGTACAACTGCTGTACGTTTTCATCCGCGATAAACCTCAATGATGATTAGGTGTTCAGACCACAAGTGCTTTAAAACTAATTGTAGGACATGTACTAATGAGAGAAGACCCAAAAGTCTGGCTTTACTCTTGCGCAATCGACGTTGCCGTGAAAATTTCCGCGAGAGTCCTTAATCGTATTATCTTCGCAGCAGACCATGGGCCGGGAAAGAATTGGGGCAGTTTCCGCCCTGGCAGAGTCAGTCCACAAAAGGTATCTGATAGGCCATGAAGGCTGGCGGCATGTTCCTAAAGCTCATGTAATTGATAAAGACGCATATCAAACTGCAAAAAATTTAGAGAATATAGTGAAGAGAACCACTATTCCTCCACCAACGCCGGTGTCCACCAAGGCCGTGTCCGCTGGCCATTTCTCTTTCACTTTGCGGTGGATTTTATTCTGTCCGTAGCACTCCACGACCATGACACCTAGGAAGAGAAACCTTCCCGATGGTATCACCCCCTCGGAAGTGTCTTGATCGCATAGTTGTCGTGATCCACAATCTCAGTCTAAAGCTGATCGCTGTGAAACCCAAGCACTGCTCGACGAATTCATACCGCAAGAGAATGATCTTCCTGGTTGCCGAGAGGCTCGAGGACGTCGAGGGCCTCGCCTGCCTAAGTCCCGCTAGGTTCCCGACAGCTGAGATTCGAATGGTACAGCAGTCATTTACGACACATATGAGTTGCTGACTCGGGAGATGCCAGTGGTCGTACCGCCAGGTTCAGCAAAAGGAAGTATCCGTGTACAAGGCTAAATTGAGAAGCTCACGGCCCCGTAGCTGTGAACCTAGGCCGCTACTTGCTGTTGGCCCAAAGAAAACAGATTTTCGCCAATTGGAGCTTCCGGATAAGACCGGCCTCGGTAAATGAACTGCATACTCAATACTGTCCCACCGATCAGGGACACCTGCTACTGGTACGGCAAAGGGACGCAGTCCCAGATGTTTCGATTGTGAACTCTGTTGCCTAAAGAGAAGCTCTTTTACCGCACCCATCCTCCGAACTCCTGTGTAAGTTGCCTCCTCCGTCTTCGTCTTAGCTCACTAAGGAGTCACGCCCGGCTCGATGGTCTTTCGTGTGCGGGACTGAAACGCTGAAAAACATTTGGCATGGCCCCCGTCGGTGATCGCAGGGTCGTGGACTCCGTAACCGGTTAAGCTAGTCTTGATGCGGCCTGGTACAAGTGGAAGTTCCCCTCTTGCCCCATTTTAACATGTCGAGTCCTTTCAGGTAGAATTCGCGAGCAATGAAAAAGTTCTTTACCTTGAAGAAGGAGATACGGTCGCAGGGACAAGAGCTTTATTAGTCTGGTGTTTCGGATTCCTGCTCGAATCCATCATCAGAGACAACAGCAGATACGGGTGATTCACACACAAAGGGCTGCAGTATTTATAGGATGCAGTCGCCATGCTACCGCATACCTATGATCATTCACGGCTCCCCCTTCATCAGAGATCGTTGCACGTGGCTTGATGGCCGACATTCGCGTCGTTAATTGCTACAATTTCATTACATGCGTTGGATGTTGGTGTGATGATTGCTCGATCATCTGACGCGCTGACCCTTGTCTTGGGAAAAGTGTTCACCTTTGCGCTCCCTGCGTGGCCAATTACCCCGCCTGGGCAAAGTCTCAGCTCCGAGTATGGGATGGGAAGTTCATTGCACTTGTTAATTGACTGGGGGCCAGTAAACCATAATTCAAGTAGCTCCCGGCTCACGCGGTTGTCACCTCTTGCGAGAATTTCAGCCTCGTCGAATTTGAATGTGTAGCCGGACCCCGTCGAATGAGCCGCAACTTGAGAGCTGGCGTCATTTCTCCGCACCGCTGCAGCGTGTTCGGCCATTCGCGTTTGGAGTTATCTTTCGGTTTCCCCGACGTAGTTGCTTTGTCCGCAACTGAACCAGATCCGATAAACGACTCCAGACGTTTCTAGCCGTGGCAGCGCGTCTTTCGGTTTCATTACCAGAGGCCTGATGGTTGCCTCCGGTCTGTGTGCAACTCCAACCCCAAGTGGTGCGAGAAGGCGGCCGACAGCTTTCGAAACGTTCTTGACATACGGGAGCGCCCGCCAAGATTTGGTGTCCGTGTGGTTAGACCTTTCGTCCCTTTTGCGTATGCACCGGTCCTTAACCACAGTTTTTCCACTTGAGGCGCAGGTTAAATATGAAGGAAATACTATTTCTCCAGTTTCCAACTGATCCCCTTCATGCTTTCTCAACAACATATATTACAGTGACATTAAGATAGCAGTTCCCTGCGTACCCTTTCTAGATACATTTTATAAGGGTCTTCCTGCTAGGACATTCTTGCACTCAAGTGTCGGCGATTTCTTGCCCAAAGGATTTTAACGCCATATTGCCTTCGCGGACTGTTGTCCCTCAGTTACGTGGCATTGTCGCCTTACTTATTTTTATATACCGACTTTTCGACCAACGCCTCGCGTTGCCCCGTCATTTTGGCTTTAGTACACCTCAGTACCCTTTGGTAGGCCGTTCATATTAAACCTAACGTACTCTCTATAAGCAGTCACCCTCCAGTCTTCAGTGTGATGCTGCCTAGTAATGCGGCTACGCAGTTGGCTGGTGGCTACACCGCGCACATGGATCGGTATACCGTAAATTTTCCGGCGTCCTATTTTTAAATGCCGTGAGTTCCACAGAGTCTGTGTAGACCGTCGTTTAAATAACGAGGTGGTTCACTTAGGGAGATCTGTTCTACCGATCTGGCCACTCTTTTTTACTAGGGTATCCGACATTTTAGGAGTTTCTGTAAGTGTGTGGTAGATGGCTCAAGCCCATACAGGAGTCATGCTGAAAATTGTCCTGGTTTCGATGGTAGCTTTTTGTGGACCGGCCTTTTATTAAAAGTCTACGAGCACAGCTTAGGCAGACAGAAGATGCAGTAGTCAAACTCACTCATAGACTTTTGGCGAATTTTCTTTCTGCTTACAGAAACATGTGTCCGATTGCGTTTGAGTCTTTGATTACCTAACTTGGGAATTTTGCCAGCTGCGGGATCCGCACGAATTTATTTCTTTTCTCACAGGGCCGGATTGCGTAGTCGTCTTTTAGTAGTTAACTGGGCGTTGCCGCAATGTCATCCATATGATGTCTGAAAAGCCCAATTTTGTGCTCAACACACAGTTTCCACGACCCAGGAAAGCAGGTTCTCGCTAGCCTAGTGTCAGATGATGAAACGGCCATCAGCGAAGTTTGGCTGCGAAATAAGCAGATTCTTTGGTCTGACGAATAAACTGTCGCGGACCAGCAGCGAAGGTGCCGTTAGGGCGCGGAGAGCTGACGTCTGACATGTCGACTGCCTTATAAAATACCGCGAAGCCCGATGACAATACTGCGACGTGGCGACCGTGGACTTCCATTTAGTAAGCTTGCTCGTTACGGGTGACTTGTGGTTAGTCCCTTGAGCCAAAACTCTTGAGGAAGCAACCTTGAACCGACAATCCGATCGACTGTTGCGGACTCGTACTTAAAAGTTCGAAGGGGCCTTATAACAAAATGTTCGACTCAACTATGACAGCCAATACTAAGACGTCCGCGGGAAACAGTGCGCTCTGCAGTCATGTTCTTGTAGCGCGAACGAATATTATGCGAGTTGGGATATTTGCTGAAGAATGAACTCTTGCTATTGGATGTTGGCATGTGCGAACGTTTCTGGACTCTCCTACCTAACGTCAGACTGCGCGTAGCCTTTATCCGTACAACGTGAATGTCTATCGCTTTACCGGGTCCACGACTCGGGGCCTCGAAAACTAAGATGCCCGAGCTAACTCCCACGTCACCCTGTCTCACAGCGGCTCATGAGGCTTCTGGTAGACGCGATGCAACCGTTGACCTCTCGTGACAAGCAAACAATGTATCGATTGAATGGGCACTAGTCATTGACCGCCCAGCCTGCGTACAAATGAAGGATCACTTTACGTGCACCTCTGTCGTTTCCGTGTATGCACGAACCTACTCATTTCAGCTGCATGGACTGTTTGAAGGACCCCCCACCGTAATATACGGATTGTTGTCGGAGACTGGATTGACCAAACTGGATCTGGCAACTCTTTAAGTGGTCATCTTGGGCCTAGCTGGATGTGCCGATGATGGGAATGCTAAGTTCTGCCGATCAGAGGCTGCTGTTTGTCACCAGTACATGCTTCCAGCAGCTGGCAGCCCGGAGAGGACGGTATTATCGTTCAAGGGGAGTGGATGGCATTCTCGCTAAAGTTGAGGCACCCTGGTTACCCGGCTCCATGAGGTGAGCCAGTAGGGCTGGGAGATGAGCTCGTTTCTTAGGACTTTCAGGCGTCCTGGTTCTCGTGTTCAAAAAGTGGGAGGACTGCCACGGCATAAGCCTAATCGATGTTGTTGCAGTGGTCTTCGCGGTAGTCATTTTTAGGCGATTTCAGAGTTGACGTGACTCGAGGTTGAGACTCAAGCAAGCCGGGTTTCGAGTTGGGCGTGGATGCGCCGACCAAATATCCACACTGCGGCACCTTATTGAATTCCACTATGGCCAACTAGCAACTGAAGGCCGTCTGCTTTGTTGGCGTCGTCACAACTTTCGATCCCGTCCATTGTGAGTTTCTGTAACGAATGGTGGAACTAGACGAGGTCGCATTCTGCCACCACTTTTGTTCAACTGCGCCATTAATTGGACTCTCAAAATAGTGCCACATGGTTTTTATGATGTTGAATTTGCACCTGGGCACCGGCGGAATAATAGCAACAACGCTTGCGATATCGCTCTGCCAGCCCCAAACCTCGAAAGTCTACGCGGATTAGACTTCGGAGTCCGGTCCCGGATCTTACCTAGATGAGAATTGCCATAAAGGCGCATCTCTATGGAGGCGTCCCGATCTTGCCCTCAATTTGAAGTATGACTGACTTAGTCCATCGGTTGGCAGCAATACGGTCCAAAACGTTTAACCGCATGCTAGTTTAAGGCACATTTGTTCGACTATAATGTGAAAACCAAGCACTGCATTTGCGTCCTATCTGTATTATTCTCCCCCTATCACATTGCACTTGTGGCTGGTCTGGGTTAAGCCGACTAGAAGTTGTGAGGCAGGCGGAGCGCAATAGTTGACGAGGCGTAAGGTTTCTGTCTACTCTGAGCCACGCACAAGGGAAGGATCGAACAGGCATTCTTTTTTAGTTGATCTTTTCTAACCACGAATATGGACTCTCGCAATTACTTTAGCCCTCTAGTCTGATTTTTTGTCGAAACCCATGCTGTATTTTTACGAACTAAGCATCCCATCGGTCATCCGGTAGTGTTGTTCTCTGTCCTGCCATTACAAGCCAGCGATCGCCTGCATTTATCCTGTTGCCGCTCATTGGTAAAGATTGCAAACCCATTCCCTTAACTTGACCAACTTATCCGCCAGGTAGGTGTCCCATGCCATATGTCGTATGATCAGCGATCTTACCGTTAGAAAATCGTTTAAATTAGAGCTCTGTCGTGAAAACTTCCGCCTCCCCCTAATTTAAATGATCTCGGCCATGTCCGCCATCAGGCTCCGACAACTCCAACTTATTGCTCTCCGGCGTTCTATTTAGCGGTCTTCGCGAAACATCAGACACCTCGAACATTTTCTCTAGAGATAATGACATTCCATTTGAAAGGTTACCGATTTTAGAAATCTCGAGGGCATGTCCCTGCCGAATTGACAATGGAAGGGCAAAATCATAGTCCAAATAAATGCTGCATGCAGGGTCTTTACAAGTCATAGGCTTGTCGCAATATCTGTTGCCACGTGTGCAGGGTATTCTTGCTGCCAGTCCTCTTTTCCAGGCGCGAATGGTTGACTTTGCGCGTTTGAGACGAACGAAAACTGGAAGCTTTCGACAACATTTGCCTGAAAACCATCATTTGAATGGTGTGTACTGACTTCCTCTCAAATGAAATGATCCGGAATCAGTGCGACAGCACCTGAGTATCTTAGATTATCCAAGGCGTTTTAGGCAATTCCTTCGTCGCCCGGCCCATAAATCCAGTGCTACATCTCTACCTCTCTTAATCCTACCAGATTCGCGCGTAGACAGGAATATCTCGGCCGAATTTTACGATGTCTGCCAGTGACGAACAATCGTGTGTTTGCCTATACAAGCGAAGATGCGAGTTCCAGAAACTAGTTGATAAGAAGAAGACGAAGCGATCACTGGAACATGGGCTTTATTCGTCTGACGTTTCGGATTCTCACTTGAGCTCATCATCTGAGACAGTGGCAGGAACGAGTGCTTTGCAGTTTCCCCTTCCACTTCAAGTCCATCCACTTCCCGTCCCTACAACTTGTAACAGACAGATTATTCTGATGACCAATGTCTGCGACCGCTTTTCTTGCACACATTTTTGTCGCAAGAAAGAGCAAGCTGACAATATACTCTTGTTTTTGCCTAGGGTGCAATCTGTTATCCGCTCTGTACCGTCGCCTCATCGGATTGCATCTCAGCAATATCGAGCCATGTTCCGTTGGAATCAAGCTCTCAGCTGGTTTCCAGATAATCGTACTTAACTACATTGTAGTCGCTCTATTGGCTTCCATCTTTTGTGGCTTAAGTAGCGTAATCTTGTGCAAAGGTTACCAACCTGATTGGTTTCGCTACCACAACGAAATTCTTAAGCGCACTTGGTTATCCTGGCTTTCAAAGGAGTTTATGGGTCCGTCACGGCACTGCGAATTATGTAAGGGTCTGTGTACTCAGTTAGTCTACCTTCCGGGTTACATGTGCCGAAACTAGTGGTTTTTACAACTGGGAGTCATCTCTCGAGTGAAGTACAATGGCGTTTTCTTGCGTGAGGTAGTTGACGCCCATTTTGAAAGCATCGTGTGCAGATCCCAGACCATTCGAGTCAAACTGCGGTGTGGTCTGAGGGCGCTGTCCGTAATCCGTTTTATGGGGATTATTCTACAACCTTAAAAACGTCATCCTCTGCCGAATGTAAATTAGAGGCAGTTGGCTCATAATCAGACCCAATGCGGCCCAAGCGGACCCTAAAGAGAATTTTTGTCCCTCTGTGTATTGTCTTCACCACCTGAATGAATAGGATGGTCCTGTTCACTTTTTTTACCAGCACATACCATGCGAGCATTGTTTTTTGCGGGCTTTCAGTCATTGCTTTTGCCACGTTAAAGTGAATGCATTCGGCTGACCTTCCGTGAAGAACTCGACAGCCATCAAGTTTCTGTCTGATTTATGCAAATGCTTGCTCATTCTTCGTCATCAAGCACGCTTGACAGACGCAGAGGGTGGAGTTTGTGACGCAGTTGCCGACAGGCGATGCGATTTTGCCGCTGAGAGTACCAGCAGCGCTAATATTAACTAGCACGGAGGCTGATAGGACCCGATCGTTTGAACAAGGATTTTATTCTCCTGTCGCAATCACTTGAATCCGTCATCAGCGAAAGAGCAAAGGGTGATAGTTCGACCGTCGTTGTCGACGATATCCACTGTGTGCTTTCCAGCAAGGTGAGAGTGGCAGTGGACTTGCACAGCATCTGCCGCACTCAGGTTAGCAAAAGAAAGAGATCAGGGTCGATAATCTGAGGAAAGGAAAGTGCTCACCGGATCGGGGAACTCGTTTGGCTGACGTTTGTAAGAGCTTGCGTGGCTGTCCATTATCAAAGCGTCCAGTGCAAAAATCGGTCAGAATTTTGAATAGACAACCGGATTAGTTGGCCTTGGGCTGATCGCTTTTTCTTCTTCTTTCGCTGCCTTGGCCTACTGGCCGTCGCTTGTGAGTGTTGGTGGCCTCCTGTATTGTGTCGTCACCTCAGTGGGGGTTAGTTGCGTTTGCGTTCCCTTTTTGGGTGAATTGGTGGACAGGCCGTGTTTGCTCGGTAGTCTTAGGCTCCGTATGACCGTCTTGTCTTCGTCACGGCGTATGTAGTGGCGTAGGACTTTATAGGCCGAAGGAAGGCCTAGGTGCCCGCTGATGAAGTTGGCATTTGAGTACCAAGCCTCAAGCGTGAGATTTTCTGTCCTTGAGGTGCCCCTGCCTAGGACGTCTGCTTCTTGAAAATCAAAACTGACCAGTTTCCCCGATGTGAGCCGCAAGCTGTGAGTTTGGGCCTGCTTTCCGAGTTGCCAGTTTGTGCTCATGTAGGCGGGTCTGCAATTTCCGTCCGGTTTTCCCAACGTAGTTGCAGTCTCCATCGTTACAACGTGTTTGATAGACAACTTCTGAGGTTTCAGTGGGTGGCAGTATGTCTTTGGGTTGCATCTAACAATGATCAATTGTTGCCTGGGGTTGATGGGCAATGCCTATTCTGGGGGGTTGTAAGAGTCGTGAAACCGCCTCGGAGACTCCTTTAATGCAAGAAATAGTCCTCCAGATTCTCAACAATTGTGCTCTTTCAAAACTTTGCTGTTACTGTGTTTGCGCTCCTCTATCAGTCAGTTTTTAGATCATTCTAAACAACCTACACAAAGCAGAGGTACGTGACACACTCCCCTCAGAGGCTACCACAACGCAGTGCACCCTCCGATCTTCCCTGATCGATCAGGACCTTCCTCGCTTCAGGCTAATCAGCTGAGTGGAAACTGTCCGTCCGGACTGGATGTCCGTAATGACGAATGCCGCACTTTTCATTTACGAGCTGCACTAATAGACGTGCCAGCTAGATGCTCTGAAGCAACCTGATCGGTCAGGGAAGATCGGAGGATGCACTGCGTTGTGGTAGCCCCTGCGGGGAGTGTGTCACATACCTCTGCTTTGTGTAGGTTGTTAAGAATGATCTAAAAACTGACCTGACAGAGGAGCGCAAACACAGTAACAGCAAAGTTTTGAAAGAGCGCAACTGTTGATAAATCCCATACGGTCCTACGACTTCAAAGCCACCAATTTTTGGATGAAATTTAGACGATCTTGCACAGGCGAGCCGGGTCCTTTGCGCGGCAGGGAGTAAAAGTGTGACAAGTTCTTATCACAAAATGGCTTAACATTAATGTCAAATAATAGGAATGAGCAGAAAATGCCTGTCCCACGATTACAAGGCCACTCACATTGTGACTCGACTGCTTGTATCCACAGGGACGAATAGTTCCCATTTCGTCTCATAATTTTAGCTGAACACTTGCTCCTGCGAGTAATCAAAATTCCAGGTTCTGGCTCGTTCAAGGGATTCCACGCCTGCTAAAGAGCCGCCGTCAGTCGACTTTTCGGCTATTAAGTTCGAGTAATGCAGTCCACCCGCCTGGATAACAGTCCTCATAGATTCTCGCTAGAGGTAATTTTCGCCGAAGCTCCCAATAAACGCTTTATGATTCTACGAGTTGTCTATAAACTCTAGCGCCAAATCTCGTCCTCTGCTACTTCTTACCGGTATCTCACATTCCTTCTGCATGGGCTCCGTAGCTCCTCTTCCCACCGGCTCGTTCCTTATTACAGTACATCTTTAAGAACTACATTTTACTTATTTACTATGGTTTTCAGCCCCTCCAGGCGTCGTCCGATCTCACTGCTGTTGAGGATCCATTGTACACAACGCCGAAAACCCACAACGCGTAAAATCCGTCAGTTATACTTCTCCAGACCTTCGTAAAGGCCAAAACTGGCAGACTTGTCTAATTTGGGAACAGATCTATTGGTGCGTTCTCGCCTTGTTGTCGTCACGCTGCTGGGCGTTGCTTACAACCGCTTCAACCTCAACACAACGTAATGTTTGCATTGCGTTACATTCCCAGTCCAGATGCGAAGGAACGCGGACACATTAGATGACAATGGCAGCGGGATGCTCGCCGATCGCGTTGCGAGGCACACTCGTCCCGTTATGCCTAGGGACTCAACTGGGCCTCGCCAGCAGCCGCACAGCGGTTAGTAATAGACCGTTGGACTTTTAACTATCAGGTCGCAGGACCAAGCCTTAGGGGCCGCAAGGACTGGAGTTGGGTATGACTGGCCGATGACGGCCAATAGACCGGCAATGGCAATTCCAGTCTCCCTTGTCTTTGTCGATAATGCTGCTCTAAATCAGGTGGCGTTATAGTTGTGGGACAGCAATCTTTTGACCATTCTTATTGCCTTACACGAAACTGAACCATTTTGTGATAAAACCTTGCCCGCCTCCATATCCCGAGTATTTTTAGAACTAACGAAATTCCAGCTTTACGCTCTGAGGTTTGAGTCTTCAAAACCGCTGTCCAGTTGGGACGGTTGACGCTTTATTTAGCGGGATCTACTCGAACTTTATTCCACCTGATTACTTTGTGTTGATATCCGTCTGCGTAACAGGTATTCTTACTCTACAGATAACCAGATGTATGCAGTGTCCAAAGACGTCTTCGCCCACGGGAACTTGTTCGCCGTTGCCCACCGGACTAAGTCAGTCCGATAACCCCGAGTGTCCGTGCTTTGTTGATCGTCGGAGGTAGACGACTGTAGCTGGAAAAAATCTCTAGTCGCACGTCGAGCCTCAAGTAGCTGGTTTAAGGCGCCATCAACGGGACGGGTGTCAGGCGTAGAACACTGAATGGAGTCGCTTATCGCAATGCCTCACTCTGAAAATCAATCAAATAATCAGGAACCAAGATCGCCACGAATAATGATACCGACTCATAGTAACCGACTCACGCTTTACAATTTGCGAGCGTCTGCAAGTTGGATTGTGGAAGTTGTCTGTTTAATCCTCCAGCTGGACGCCTGTTTTGTCCTTGCATATTTCGTATATTCCTACCAAAGGCTCCATCCACATGAGGTATTTTACACTCCCCAAACCCACATAATTCAAATCGCTTGGCCTAATTATCATAGTAAGTAACTGTCAGTGCTGCCCTCGAAGCCCTCCTTTGATGTGAGATGTGGTCCCTTTCTAACCGCCGGATTGCCCCACCTAACTGTGCTCGCACTGTTTTTGTTGATTAGATCAACAGCCACAACCAACCTACAGTGAGTGACCGATCTCATGAAATGTTGGCTGGAATTCTGAAATGCGTTTTCGATTAAGAAGGATTACTTGGCCGCTGTTGTAATACTGATTATCTTGCGGCATAGTCTTATAACATTTCGGACTCAGCAGGATGTCAGCTTTTGAATACACTGCTTTCCAATCTCCTGTTGAAACCGTACTCGGCAAAAAAATGAGTACTTATGTAGCATGTACTTTTCCCGTTTATTTTCGATGGTCTTGCAAATTCAAATATATCTTATAGAAACCATAAACAAAATATGCGTTCTTTAAGTCACTTGATAGGGAATCACGTCTTCTTTATATTTTATACTCAAGAAATGAATATAATTAGGTTTTAGGAAAGTTTTCTGATTGCCGAATAATTTGGAGTCTGATCAGCCGTTTCATTAGCGCTTAGTGATTTCAGTCTACGAGGTGCATGCGTTCCGCGGAAGGAAAATCACATATTTTTCTATGCCATTAAAAAGATATCATACAGAGTCTTTAAAATTTTGAAATGGATGCGGACTGTGCTGTACATTTCATGAGGAGCTGTGGTAAACGGCGAGGTACGATGCTTTGTGAATGGACATTGCGAGGTCTTGAAAAATCTCATTATTAGAAACTTTTTTAAAACCTACTTATACCCCTTCATTGAGTATGAAATATAAAGAAGGCGTGATTCCCTCTTAATTGACTGAAAGAACGCATATTTTTGTTTATGGTTTCTACAAGATATATTTGAATTCGCAAGACCATCGAAAATAAACGGGAAAAGTACATGCTACTTATGTAGTCATTTTTTACCGAGTACGGTTTCTACAGGAGATTGAAAAGCAGCGTATTCAAAAGCTGACATCCTGCTGAGTCCGAAATGTTATAAGATTATGCCACAAGATAATCAGTATTACGACCGCGACTAAGTAATCCTTCCTAATCGAAAACGCATTTCAGAATTTCAGCCAACATTTCATGAGACCCGTCACTCACTGTAACTTTGTGACGAGTTCAGTCGCGCATTGGACTCACGTCTTTTTCTACTGTCTGCTTTGTCGTATTTGTTGGAGCTGTATGGACCGTCTGACTGACGCCTGTCAACGGCTGTGAGCCATCTCTTGGGTCAGGTGTTCATATTCTGTGCGGTACTGGGCTGAACACAACTAAAAGTTCAGGCAGGAGTAACCACACATTGACCTTTTTGGCCCCATAGAACAACCAGTCTCCAAAGTTAGTGGCGAAAATCAAGAACGAGCGACCAAGCAGGTAAAAAACCCAGCAGGGAAGCAGAAAAGGCAGAGGCACAAAGGCAGGCGCTGACTGAAACAGCGAGAGTTCTGAACCTGTTAGTGCCTTCTGCAGGCAAAGCCGACAATCGAGGATAAAACGCTCTGCATATACACAACGCACTTGACCCACAGGCTAAGCCTATCCGAGGGGTTCGCAGCATCCCCCAACCAAAACTTCACTGCCGTCTCCCAGTGAGCTGGAAGTACATTGGAATGTATTCGATGCGCTTCAGTCGGCTGGGCGGGTAACTTGACCCAAATGTGATTAAACTCACGTCTTCCGGTGGGGCCTCGTAGCTCAGGTCACTAGAGCGTTGACTGTACTAAAGCCTTCCCCTTGCTGTCGTGGGTTCGAATCCCACCGAGGCGCCGAGTTTTTCACAATTGTGTCAATATGAACTATAAAACAATGTTTTGACGAGGGATTTAGCGACAGACACCGAAGTGCCATCTGAGGTGCTTAGCGACCTTGTCGGAAGAATTAACAGGTGAGTAATTAAGGATGTAGAACGGAGAAAATGAGCTGGACACGATCGTAAGGCCATCACTCTGGGTGGTGGGGGGACAGAGTGGGTGAAGGAAGCAACGAATTTAGCACCCGCTGGACTTGTCTTTCCCCTTCTATCACATGCTCTTTCTTTTAACTCTTAGACGAAATTTGGAGACGTTATGATGAATTCTATCCGTAGGATTCAACGAAGTCCTTTAACTGACATTTGCCATTTATGCGCTACCTCTGAGAGGGCCCCGCACACCACTACTCACAACTGCTCATTCACAGTTATTTCATCCGCACTGGTCTTGACAGGGGATCATGTTTTTGGAGTCCATCATTCGTTTTCCTGTACTCTTGATTCATTTTAAAATTTAGTCCTGTTAAAGAAGTTGGCCATAGTCACGTTTGGAAGGCGCGTACTGCGGGCAATATCTAAGATACACAATCAGCGGGACGCGTATAGGCAGTGTGACAAAATCTGTGTACGAGTCCGAGAGTAGACGCCTTCACGACATTAGAACACAACCAAAACGCGCGAGGAGGGGATGAGAGTGTAGTAGTGAGTTTGACATACGATAATGTAGTGACAGGGCGGGGACTCTTTTGACAGCTTGCAATACTTTTTTTGTCGAGCTATAGGAAGGGGTAACCTGCGGCGTGACATTCAGTGCAAGATCGATCGATTTTATCAAGACAGATCTCTCCGCTTGTCCAAAGAGCCGCTCCCCACCTTTACTGCCTACTGGCAATTAAGTTGGCGTAGGTATATTTGCAGTTCATTCTTTCGACCGAATCCTTTCCTCGATCGGCCCGACTCAGGCAGTCTGTTGGCACGTGGGTGAGGCAAATGTCTGTACGGTCAACGGCGGAGCCCAAATCCTTATGTATAATCGGCGCTGTTTTTAAGCTATTAAGGGTGTTTAGGAGGTTCCCAACTGACGTTATAACTCGCTTCTCGATCCCTCTCCCGACTGATGCTCATGCCATGGTGGTTCTTTTGTGTAGCCTCTGTGGCATCTCTCCTAATGTGAAACTCATGGCCCTCCATCATTAGGTTAGTTCATGTGGGACGGGTACTAGCAGGTGTCGGCTAATTCCACCTTGTCATCCACCCTGTCCCTGTCCCTGCCCATTTCCTGTCATATGGATTCTGCTCTTCTATTAGAACACAGAGTATGAGAGAGAGAGAGAGAGAGAGAGAGAGAGAGAGAGAGATCAGGTGAGACAGATGCCGCTGAAGTCTGCTCTACAACAGTGGTCATTCTTGTTGCTTACGATGGACAAACTGTTAACTAGTTATACCAGAGCTCGTCCATGTGGTTCCTCTGATTGTGGCCATACGGCACTCGAGGTCCGAACTTTCATCGTTTCCATGCTGTTTTGTTGGTTACAGCACGATGCTTGTATTGTATTTATCGTCTTCTTTCTATGCTAGCACCATTATCTTTTTACAACACCCCTTCCACTGAACACAGATTCTCTTGCTGCGGAGGCAAGACGGGAAGTCATTTGCCACCTTCTCTAGAAAGCAAGCTCTTATACTCTTCCCGTGATCACGATTCCAAGTTCTACTAGGTTTAACCACAAATATTCGCCCGATTTACTTTCAGGACCTTGTTCTACTTGTCTTATTTTTTTAGACCGTCAGAAATCAACCACAGCAGCCGATTCCTCGTCAAGGACCCTTCGTTCAAAGCCACCTTCCGTACGCCGGTCGGCATTGGAGGACCGTGGTAAGTAGGCGTGTACATCCTTTTGACCTCGCATGAGCGCATTTCTCCAAGAACATCTTGTGTATGCTACTACGCCATATGGCGGTTGAGCTTGTTCTTTTTCTCGGTCCCGGTTGCTCATGCACCGTACTTGATGAGAACAGGCAAAGTGATGACGTCTATCCCAGTAGGTCTATACTGAAGACGACTTGCGTCGCTGGTACCTCATGCTTCTCGCACTCGTCATGTTTTAATTCAGTGTGGCCTGAAGCCAGGGTGGCTGCAGTGACTGACGTGGCAAAAGCAAAGTCTACATCTGCCACACGTGCTGATCAAATTAATCACACGATGTGGACTTTAAGATCAGGATCCCACCTCTCTAGTTGACGAGACTTACCAAAAAGGTCGCACCAGGAGTCAATCCACTTGAAGACCGACTTATCCTGTCAGTTGGCAGCCTTCCGTGGTACTGGTGTAACGCGCCACAATAGCTTCAAGCGAGGAAAGCACGCGCGGGATCCACGTTGGACCGACCTAATCTTCTCCCTCTTCCGGTTTTGCGCCAGCGGGATGACCTATTCAAGCTGACTGGAGGAGGGATCGGGCTCGGCAGTTGGCGTGGCCAAAAGACCCCTTTTGGCGGAGATAACCACAACTTCTGATTTACAACTCGCGCATGCAACCTATCCAACGCACAAGTAAAACCAACTTCGGGTGATCTTTGCGCGCTGTGACGTTAGTACATGGTTCCACCTAGGAAGGCGGGTAAGGAGGACTTTCTGTTTGGTCTTTCCTCTCACGGCACAAGTCCTACTGTGTATGTGTGTTGTCGTTAGAACCACCCGCCTATTCTCCGTAGGAAGTCAGAAAGCCATGTGACGGTGTGAATGGGATGTGCGATTTCGACTGTATGGCTATGAGCCGCCACTATGCTCACACGCCTCCCACTGGTTTATAAGCTCGTTGCCTAGAACAGTCTATGATCACTGTCAGCTTTTGAGACCCAGATGTCCAACCTACACGGCAGTATCGATCTATTTCATCAACTATAAACCTCACCATTCACTCCCGTGGAGATGACGGGCCAAAACAAGTTAACACCGATCGCCATTGATTGTTAAGGCCATTCTTTATTAGAGCAAGTACTAACATTAATCCACTACTTCCTATGCTTATTTGGCTGTTGTCGGTCGAATTGGCCAGTCATTCTATGCCTCGGTAGAACAGACGGATTGCGGGATGTGATGGTGAATTTTGTTTCCTCTCTGCTATATTGGTGAGCTGTACTGGGGATTACCGGTCAGAAATCCGCGCCTTCATTTCACCGTGGCCAGCTGGGCGATTTTACGGCCCGTGTCCGGACTCTTACCTCGCGCGCTGTAGTAAACTCGCCCATCTCACGCAGTTAGTCATCCAGTAAGCTGGCGAACTCATCCTTGTCGCGGAAGGCAAACAACAGGGAGTTCTACTTGCATCCGCTTTGGATAAGTAACTCCTCTCATGTGCCTTGCTGCGTAACGAGATCAGACCAAAGCACACCACAGGGAGACGTAATTCCTCTGCCAAAACTGAACAGGAGTCGAGGATGCCAGTTCGCTGCCGATGACGAGACGAGTTATAGGCCTCTTGATGGAGGTCGATGTGGCAACCGAGGCGCAGTGGCACGATGGACCCGTGTGGACTGGCAAAAGTTTGTCTCTGAGTACGTGTGCGTGTTGCAGCCGTTGGTTAAGAGACTCGTGACCCCAAAACTGGCCACGTGGTAGATGCGCTAGACCAAGACGGGGGCCACATTGGATACTGGCAGGCGTTATCGAATTGCGCCCCATAACAAATGCCAACTTTTGGGGGGCGTGATGGCAAACCCAGTTACCGACTGACGTCGCTGCCCTCCATATTGTTGTTGTTGTTGTTGGTCAAAATCCTGGTCATCTGCTGTTTGGACCAGGGGGTATGGAGTGGAGCGCCAAGGTGCGGGCTCGACCGTACCATCCACCGGCGCCCTCCACCGCCCCCGGTCTTCTTGAATGTCTGGACACCGGATCCAGATAGGGGAGGAGGAGAGAGTGCGGTAGATGGTGTGCAGGTCTGCTATCACTACAAACTAATCCACGTGCAAGTCACCTTGCTGTGGAGCACACGGTGGACATCGTCGGCAACGGATGTTCGAACTGTCGGTTGAGTGGCTCGGACAGTGTACTGGGGTATTGGAGAAGGACGAGAGAGTAATGTTGACACTGAGGAATCTATCTTCATGGTCGACCAGCGCATAAATCGGACTCGCTCTGATGTATCCTGACACACTAACAACCTTGGCTTGAAAGGCGGCCAACTGACGTGATAAGTCGGTTCCTCGGCCTGCAGTGGCCTCTTACTGTGGCTTGTGAGGCACTTTAACCACATAAGATCCGAGCCGCGCTGACATGTATTGGGGAACAGGTCGTGTGTGGCACACGCGGACGGGCTGTTTAGCTTTACCAGTCGCTGCACTCTCGCCCACCTCATGTCGTCCTGATATCGTCTCGCCATCGGAGCAGAGTGGGTGAGGGAAGAGTGCGATAGATGCGCCAAGGTTGCTAAAACCAGAATGAGGGCATCCGTCATGCTGCACTGAAATCCAGCCCGAAGGTGGGCAGTTGGACTGTCAGTTGGACTTTTTTCAAACCTGCGACTTATTACTACTCAACGATGACTCGAAGACGCGTCAGCATGTTATAGTGCAGTGAGATCGCGCCAAATCGGTCTCCTTCATCCCACTCTGGTTGGCCGCCAGTGCGAAGAATGAGTCATGCCGCCTGGAGATTAGATGCGATGAAACAGTCAAAGGGTATGAAGCTGCTCTCTCGCATGCCATGCGCTCGTTTGTCTCCGTTTATGACTGCAGTGACAGCAATACCTGACCCAACAACGACAGTAGTAGCAGCCGTTGTCGTAAATCCCACACTCATTTCTTCTCTTCTGATATTTGCCAAATTTAACTGCTGTGCCTAGGCGAGTCGGCAGAATCTTTGGCCGACATAACGTTTGGTCTAGTTGAAATTGTATACTAGGCTCGCTGGATCTGCATAAGGAAGATGGTGCAGCTGATCGCCGAACTACGGTCTTTTGTGTTTTGTGTAATTAATTACGCTGACCGACTGTTGCTGCTGCTTCTGCCACCACATTGGCGTTCCCCTTTCGTCCTGGCGGCTATCTGTGCATTAAATATGCCAGGCGACTGCTTTTCCCCACCGTCGTAGGCACCGGCACACTGGTGCGTGTGTGATCTCCCGTGCACACATCCTCGCTCCGAGGACATGCCCTTTCTGCCTCATCTGTTACCCCCTCCCCCTTTTACGTGCGTGTTCGCAAATGAATCCCTCAAATCAATTCCCGGTCTGTTCGAATGCGCTGTTGCCGCAAGCGCCTGTCGTGTTTACTTATTCACACTAATGCGACACCAGGAGGAGGCCCACTGTCTTGTACCTTGTTTGCAGTTTCTTCGGATGTGTGCGGGTCAGCACTGGTGAATTTTAGCATTCGGTGGCAGCGGGCTGTTAATTTTTGTCTCAGAGCGCACTTGTGTGGTTTTTCACAAGGCGGCTACTTCATGGAAGTCTCAGTGTGGGCCTCACTGAATGCGTGCGAGAACATCTTTCATTTGTCTTGCTCATTTGAGGCCGCAGTCTGAGTCATCCTCCAACGGGACCGCAAGATGTCTGGGCCCTGTTCCGCTCGGATCCGTTGCAGCTGCAACTGTTGACTATTGTGCGCTTGCGCCTTTCACCACTTGCTGACCACGTGCCAAACCTGCTTATGCTCCACCCACCATCTGAACGCACTCCCTCCCACTCCGGCTCGCCGGTGCCGCAATGCGCACACCTCCGGTTGTATAACCACGTGCTCTGTCAACTGTGCATTCTACCCATCCATAAACGCACTTTTTGAGACGTCATTCGGGTTCGATGCTCTCCCTGTAAGATTTCCACTGTTAGCCTAAGCCTTGTGGTTCCTTTACCTTTCTGACTTCGGTACTCCGTGGCCAGCGTCAGGCTATACTTCACCGGGGGTTCCTTATGACAACTAAACGGCCTCGGGTTTGGTCTCTGCAGTACCCCCGCGTTCGTTGTCTTTTTCTTGCTTTTTCGCTGATCTACACGAGTACCACAGTAGGCCAACCCTTTTATTTTGGCCCTTTGCCACAAGGGTAGCACTTCGGTTCAGGGTTCTGGGCGTTGCAAGCCCTCCAACGTCTCATGGCTGTCCGGCCGATCTAACAGCCAAAGTCATTTATCCCACCGATGAACCCCACACCGCACCCACGGCACTTGTGGGTGTGGCGTGGGATGTCGTGGATGGGGTGTTCAGTTGTGTTTGCCCTAGCTGGCACAGCAACACAGCGCCGCAATGGTTCGAATTCACTGTCCGCCTCGAACTAGCCTGTGCCTTTTCATGGGGTCTCACGCAAGACAGAGCCACTTCCCACACCCCTCCCACAGCCTTTTTAGATTTTCGAAATATAGTCCTGAATAAACTCAAACCCGTGTTTTTTGAATCGCCGTTATAATTACAATGTCACCAAAAATCATCTGCCACTTTCCTCATGTCCATCCAGGTCTCTACGATGTTAGTGAGCGGGACGAGGAGGATCGACCGGATTCCCCCCTCAGCCTCGATTCTGGAGAAACTACAAAACCCAGTCACGCAGAACCAGTGAGTATCCTCTCCACCCCCCTCTCTCAAGTTCTTTTCCTCACTGTGCGTTGTGATGCCTCCAGTTGTTCCAATAGAGGACTGATACTATCAGACTGTTGTTAACGTTCTTACCCTCACCGTCAGCGTTACAATCGATCCAACACAGAGCCTCTTCACTTTGTCTCCACGGCGACCCTGCCCGTTGTTGCCCCAATCAAAACCATCACCACCACCACGGTAACTACTCGCTCACGGCCATCGTCTACGGACAACCGTGGCGCCATTTCGAACAAACCTACAGTTGGTGGGGTCGCACGTACTCCTGCCCACTCTGGTAGATTTCGTTCCCCCTCGATTGCATGTGCTCGCATATTTGAGCGCCACGAATCTTCTGTCATTGAAAAGCATGAAAATCGATGGAGTTTATGCCCCAGCAAGCATCTTTAACGCCCTTTCGACCGGTCACCCTAATCAGGTCAAAACCCCAAGTCCATCTTTGGGATGGGCAATACCATAACCATGGAGTTGTCACTGGTGCATGTGGCCTGTTGCCTCTTACCTCCCTCGTAGCTCCCGCTTGATCGCCAATTTGTTTCACCAGATGCCTACACCGACTTGTTCGTTACCTGCTCTCAGTATCACAAGGTACGCCCACTTGACGAAGGTCGAGGGAATTTCGGTTCCAAGTGGGGGGTGGGGGGGGGGACACACCCAGTGACCGAACTCCTGAAGTGCTAAACGAAATGCTGCAATGCGTTTTCCATTAGTGGGGTCATGCCATTTATAATCGTGAAGCCGAATCCCAAGATAGTTCAGACACACCAGGATGCTGGCTTTTGAACGAACTTCTTTTAGGCCACCTGCAAAACCTGCACTCGACGATTAGGACTACTTAAGCAGTGTGCATTGTTCATTAATTTTCGATGCCCTTATGAATCCAGCTATCTTTTCTTATGCTAATTTGGTAGCAAATCACGTCTCCTTTAAATGTGACATTCGAACAAAAGAGCATCTTCCAGTTTTGAAAAAAGTGTTTTAATTCTCGAATAATTCTGAACATGACTTGTCGTTGCATCTGTGTCTAGGGTTTACTCTCTAGGCTATGTAGTTTCCATGCAAGGAAAATCAACCATTCCGGTGTGACAGTGGAAAGATAGTAATTGGAACTCCTAAAATGAATGCGGTCTATGTTGTAGCGTTAATAAACAGACAGATGCGGTTATGTTTGAATAAGCATTGCAGGGTCATAAAAAATCTCATAATTACAAACTTTTAAAACCTAAAGGTACCATTTCCTCGAGTATAAAATTTGAAGAAGACGTGATTTCCTGCCGATTGAGTGCAGGAAAGGGTATCTCCATGCACGTTTTCTATAAAACATATTTAGATTTATAAGGGCATCGAAAACCAGTGGGAAAATGCTTACCGAGCGCAGTTGTTTTTGCGGGCGACGGAAAATACATGCATTCAAAAGTCGGCATCCTGGCGTATGTGAACTATCCTGGGATTAGGCTACAGGATCTCAAACAGTGCAACCCACTTAAGCAGTCTTTCCTAGTAAGAAACACATTTTAACATTTAGTTTAACATTTCATGAAGTAGGTCACTGTTTGTAGTTATTCCAGACAATTGTACGTTTTTACTGCTCTTTTGCTGTTTGTGTGTTAAAACTAAGAAAGATCTTGGTTGATGTTATTTAACAAGCACACGCGATCCTTTTCCCACCGCTGACTCAACATGCAATCGCCTGGTGTTCAGGTAAAAGTATCTCCGGCAGTCTTAGTTTTAATTTGTTTCTTCGCGTTGTGTATACTTCGGTGTGCTGCCCAGACAAGTTAAACCGTCTTAATTATTTTCTCAATACCGGCCCTCAAAAAAGTCCGGATTCCGCACTTACGCAACTCCGAATTCCCTTACCGGTCAGACCGGTCGCGGTTTAAGCACAAGGTCTCTTGCTCTGTATGTGTGCGCAGAACGCCGTTAATAAGTAGGTATGTGCATACAACTCGCCATGGCGACTCACATTGAGGGGGAGGCTAAAGCTATTAAAGTATTGCTCTGTGGGGTGACAGACTCCGCACATGTGGAGGAAGGCCGCTGTGCTACCGTTCACGTGCAGTTGTCTTGACCTTGTTATGGTGGCACGAGGAATGTGGAAAAAAATTACCGTGGCGGTGGGGCTGAAGTCTCAACTCTAATCCATGTTACTTGAAAGTCACCTTGTTACAGTGCCTGCCTTGGTAGTTTTCGGCCGAAGAATGGTTACATTCCCCATTTGCTATTCACAGAGTGTCAGCTCTACTGCCAATAACCAACTCTCAATGTGTCACGGATCGTGTTTTGCATGCCGCTCGCTTCCTTTAGTGATTGTCTACCAAATCATCCGCATGCACAGGAGTTCGTTTCTGGGCGCGCCATTTGAAAGTTCAATGGTCGCATACTGTTAGCAACAAAGAAACGGAAAGGGGCCGATCATTTATAGCCTAATTAATGTCATCAGAGAGTCTATCCGACTGACAACGACAAATAAGGTGGAACTGACCTCCCCAATCGTTCCGCCAGCTTCTTTGAGCAATGTGCACCGAAAACCTCTTTTCATTCCTACTATATCTACTCTGCCTATAGTGGTTGCGGACGATGTCAATTACGGCGTCGCGGCGAAATATATTGCTTAACAGCCTTCTTTCACAAACGTTAGATTAATTCGTAGGACTGCTTTTCCAACCTGATCGCCGCTCTGGCTAGGTTTGTGCAGCACTCCCACTTCCCCCGGCGAAGGCATTATTTGTTGGCTTTGGAGTTTTCTCCTTTGGTGGGCGTCCAAGCTTTCTTAGATTGTTTTTCGGCGCGGGTGGGGTATGCAGCCCCCCTGGGTGGTTGTTCAAAAATCTGCCTTTTCTTATTTAAGTAGGTGTGGTTCATAACGGTTTGTCTGAACTGGTCGCGAAAGGGGTTATGCACTAGTGTTTTTGACGTTAAAGTTGCCCATATGTGGAGCTCAAGGATAGGATTAGGACTACGGTCAGGGTTAGAGTTAGGGATATTATTTGGGTTATTCTTAGGAATAGGGTTGCTAAGCTTTAATTATGGTTTGGATTTGCGGTTGAGGCTAGGATTGGGCTTTAAAGCCTGTACCAAGGTTGCGGTTGCGTACAAGTTTTCCTTAAAGGCTTAATGGTTAAGCATTAGGGTTACCCAGGGGGATCACATGCCATGCCTGTTTTTCCCTTTTGCATTCTGCTTCGCTGGTAGCCTCGAAGAGACGGTCTGTCTTCATTTCGCCGTATTCGACCACGACAGCAAGGTTGAACTAGGGTTTACCTGAATGTCACGCTCAGCAACTGACCCCGGCGAATACTATTCCGTAAACTTGTATAAAACGGTTGGATTGATAATTAACTAAGACTGCAGTCCTATGGCAGTGTGGCCCATGAGTCCGCTATGTATTCCGACCCGATGCCAATAACAGGTACCTGGTGATTAAATAATGCGCCGTTGATCGACTTCCTCAGCGCTCTATGCGAAACACCCTGACGTTCAAGCGCTGTAAATTGGACGCTCTCATTCTTACGTTGGCAACCGGCAGTCTCATTCTATTTTAATTTCTACAGAATTAATAAGCACCTGGATGCGCCACTCTTATTTTTTTCGAAAGTCGCTGCGAAGTTCGGCAACCGGCTAAGCTTATTGCTCCTGTCGTCTACCCATATTTCCAGTCCTCCTCTGACCGACGGCGAAAAGTCAGCGTACGTTATGTACGTGCACTCATAATCCCTCCACCTTTCGCTCTATATTTCAACTTTTTGCGTATTCTTCTAAAATCTAACTGACAGTTCGCTGTGTGGCTGATCCTGCTTTTCCTTTTCCGCCTAATTATCCATTTTTGACGTAACGCACCGGCTCTTTCACCCTCGTCCTACATGCGACTTTGCCGTTTTTTGGTCTCCATCCTGCAGATTCAAGCGTCCCACAAGTCACAACGCTCCTCTCATGTCCACTTTTATGCAGCTCTCTTCTGGTCCGACAGAACAGGAATGGGACCGTTTATCGCAGCTCGAGAGCCAACATTCTTCACAGTTAGCATTCCTTTCAGTCCCAGCCCAGCACGAATCTTATAGTTGTGCCAAATACCCCACCCGAGTGTTAAAGTCGAGCCAATGGGAATCTGCCGTCGCCTCTATCGAAGGGGGGAGTGGAGGGAGAGGGGTAATCGGCAATGTTGATTTAGATAAAAAAAAAAGAGCTGGATCGCTGATTATATTCGATCAGAAACCTTGATGTAACAACGCTTAAACGATCGAAAACTTACGAGGGACAAGATCCATGAGCTGGACCGGAATTTTTCCATTTAGCACATCTGACTGCCTAAAAGACGCCATCGACGTCATCACCTAGTCTTTAAAGTAAAATCATCATAGAGGAAAAGGGTAGCGGATTTCGCAAAGTTGCCTGAACCCTGTTACTATCATGGGCAAATTATTGCCTGCCGGCTTGCCGTTTAATCGACGACCTTCCCGCATAGTTGCTTAGACAGGCATGCCTTACCCCCCCCCCCCCCGTTTCTCCACAACTCATTAAACCCACCGACCAACTTCACTAATTTTAGGCATTTTGTCCCCGGTATGAACAGCAGAATTTACTGGTACCAACCAACCCTTGCAGACAGTTCCGTGACTCAGATGGTGACAACTGCGGCTATGTCGACTTCATGCACTAAAAACCTGTATCCGGAATCTGACACCCCAGCCGCTAAACTGCCACAAAATTCACAACTGAATGCAGTCTCCGCCTCCGAGGTTGGGCATTTTGTTTAGGGGGACGACTGTTTTGTGTCCTCTGGACATTCGTGTCGCCGAAGCGTCCTCAAAATACGTCTTGTAGTATATTGTCAATGCTCTAACCCCCCTCTAGAACGTTTAGAAACACCGCGACGTTAGTAATAAACCTAACCATCCACAAGTGATTTCAAATGTGCCTTTGATCATTCAACCAGACCGGCTCAAAGCCAAAGCCGGCAAACACACTTTTCGGATTATTCACCATCAAGCCTGTACGGCAACATGTGTCACGGTTGAGCTATGAAAAGGGAAAAAAAGAAAGTAGGGCAGGGGGTTGTCGAGCTTGCCAAGCGGGAGGACTTGATGAAGATCTAATTCCGAGGTAAAAGGACCGGAGATGAGTGTCATTGCGATTCGTTTGCCTTCCGTCGAAAGATGCGGATAGGAGTATATGGGGCTCGACTTGGGCCAGTGTAACTTGGGGTCCTTAGCGAACTCCTGCGAATACAAGGTTGGGTTTCCTGACCATGTGGCCACCACCTCTGCAGTCGTTATTATCCTCTGACACAGGAATTTGCTGTGTCTCGCCGGTACTTTGTGATTCACTCCAAACGCTCTGCTGACGTCTACCCCATAGCCTATGTGAGCTATAGGAGTCGCCATTCCTCCGAGGATAGACTATCTCACGCCATGATTTGGCCAGGCAGGGTGATGTTTTCGCATCCGTTTTGGTAGGCGCCTAGTCCTTCGACAAACACAGCTGACTCCACATGAAGGTGTAAATGCACACTGGGTCTGTCTGAAGGGGCAGTTCGTTCCGACCTTTGAGGCGCGGAAGGGGAGCGCCTGAGAAAATTATTCCTAGCCGCTGGATACATGCGCACAATAGCACAGTTCTAGGAGTACCGGTGCCGGGTTCCTTTGAAACGGTACTCTGAGGACTAGTTTCTTCTTTTTAACCTTGTAGTTGTTCGCTTTTTATCTTTCTTCACTGCTCGCTGTGCTACTGACTTGCGTTACTATGCAGACCTGGTAATGAATAACTGGAAACGTACGTTTGCCGACCTCGACTTTGAGCCGGTCTGGTTGCTGGACGGTTAACGGCGTAAATACGGTTTCGGAAGAGTTTGCGTTTTTTGCGTATGTGCACTTCTGCGCGTTCTTGTAGCAGGTCTGCGCGTGCGTGAGAGAGAGAGAGAGAGAGCGAGAGACCGCGCTGCCCATAGTTAACGAATGCGCGTCGTTACTCGCTGATTTTTTTAAACCATACTCAGACGAAGCCTGCTGTCTAGGGAGTCTCACCTTGTCCACCGTTTGTCCCTTATTCCGCAAGCACTACAGGCGGTGATTTCGTCCTTGTATCGCCAGCCGGAGAGCAGTAGTCGTTTTCCTTCACTTAGCAGATCGTTTTTTCACTGAGCCGTAGTTGGCCGTCTTACTGTTTTCGAGTTACGTCGCGCCCTGGCCTCGATCCCTCGGCGACTAGAGAGTGCACTGCATTTCCAGGTTTTGATCAAGGGAATTTTGCCACTCCGAGCAAGAACAGCCTCTTACGTAACCAAAATGCTTGATGTGATGAACATTCAAGGCTGTTTTCTAACTTATTTCACCAGTCATTCGCAGAAGTTTTTGGGTTAGCATTGAGGGGGGGCCTGCTTCGAGTTGTTCCCACCTAATTGCCCTCGTTCTTCATTGTCGGTCTAGTGCCTATTTTACCCCGCAGCAAGAAGGTAACACTGCACACTGCGTAGATTTTTTGCTCTCTCCCCTTTCCCGTCTGTCTCTCAACTAGTGCGTGTGCGCTTACGTGTGCAAAGTCCCACCTCTTCACTCAACCCTAACAGTTAACACTGTCCTACGGGCTCTTTGTCGGCTATTTTTTGCGTTAACGCGGCACTCACCAACTTTTCCATTTTGTCCCAACTTCGACCGACTGCTCCTCTGTTCCGCGCCTGATTAATATAGTTAGGAACGGGACACTTGTTCACGGAGCGTATAATATCGCGACGTCTCGACATTTGGTCGTATAGACATCGATTTCACTCGGAGATGGGAAACCCAAGAGCTTGTTCTCTTTAATATAGCTTGTTGCATACCTGCTGTTCGTGGCTCTCACCGCATTCGATATCCATTGCGTTGCAAATGTCTTCCATGTCTAGCCAGTATTGAAACAACTTCGTTATGGGGACGCAAGTGTTGTGGGCAGCTGGCGGTTGAGCTCACGTGGCCACCGACAGAAATGCTCTGTCGGCCAGCAGTAGCCACTGACACAACTGTATTTTCTACATCTCTCTTCTTTCCAAGAATCTCTCCGGCGTCTGTGTCCTGCTTGGAGTCCATTTATCACATCCTCTTGCACGTTTCTTCATACGGACGCGCCGACGCATCACTTAGACACAGATCAGACTTCCAGTTTATGCGCCCAAATTACGAATACTTTTAAATCTTTTCCCTATTTGTCATTTTCGCATCATCCTGCACCTAGGGCACTAAGAACTCACCAGACTTTGTCGCAGTAATTATGCAGACATTTGATTTGTGCAACACCTGCCACAATACCCGGTCCTACGTTATTTCCCCTACCCAGCGACTCACAACACCTTCGCACAATGGTAGGTCGTTGTCACCTGTTCTTCCCGATGACCATCCTTGTTGTCGCACCGTTGCTCTCCTCGCTGTGTCGCGGACACCATATTGTCGCATCCTCATCTCGGGTGACAATTTTCTCCTCCCACTCGTCCTGCTGTAACTCTCTCATGTGACCGGACCGCTGCCCGCTTAATCAGATTTTTTTCGTTTCAACTTTGCGGCAAGGACATCAAACCCTGCATGGCAGTCCGGAAGACCTTTAGAGAGTCTAGACCTTCCCGCATCTGCGTTACGGACAAGGTCCTGTCACTTGAGATCAGGAGTGTTCACTGTGGACTGCCACTCGCCGATTTATCATGACCGCAGGACGAAAACAGGCATTCCCACTTTGTTTAAGGTCAGCGATGATTCCCATGCAGATATCTAAGAAGTCAAGTCCTGTAGGGTCGAACAATCAGGCGTCAATCTAAGCGGATGCGAGAGCACCATCCTGCCGGGCTAAATCAACGTGCGAAAAAGTCCATCTCTAGCGCAGTCGTGGCTCACTTGGCTGATAGCGGCCACCGGGTAGACGTCAATCAAGCATTCAAAGTCATCGGCGAGACATTCCAAGTTCCTGCGTCAGCGAATACCTGCGATGGCATAGGCAGTGATCATAGGGTTTGCTAACCCGGCCTTGTGCTCGCATAAAGCGTCTGTACAAGCGCTAAGGCTCCCCTGGGCAAAGACAAACCCAGCATATGTGTTCACACCCGCCACGTCGCGTTATAGCGACGATACAGGGACAGCTCTCGGTTCACGCAGTTCGTCGCGTTGTGTGTGTGTGTTGTGTGGAGTGGCGGACTGGTGGGCTGGGAACGGGCTGAAACAGCACCTTCCACGGCACTCTCACGCAAGTGAGTGACACGCCGTTCAACCCCCGTTGTGTGAAATCCTGGTGTTGTGTGTATGGGGGCCAGGTCGTGCCGTGGCGCGCGCAGTCATGGTCAGTCGACCATGACAGCCACCGCGCCCATTCCCCACTCCAGTCGGCTGACCGGCTCGGACAGCGGCTGGGGTGTGGGAGTGGGAAGGGAGAGTTAGGTCGACGACTCAGCGCATTTTCCTCACTATAAACAATCTGACGCGCTTGAAGCTATCACGGTGCGCTAAAAGCCGTGGCTTGCAAGGTTGCCAACTGACAGGGTAACTTGGACCTCCTCCTTGACTGGAGGCGGTCTGAGAGTCAGGCTGCAATGGCTCCTTTTTAATGTGGCCTTTATAGCACTCCTATCACAGTGTGGGATCCCAGCCAGGCGTTGGCGGCACGCCCAGGTGCGGCTTCGGTCGTGCCAGCCTCCAAATCTCTGTCGCGTTGGTTGAAATCCTGGTTATTTGTTGTGTGGACCAGGAGGTGTGGTGGAACGCCAAGGTGAGGATCCGTCCGAGCCATCCACCTGCGGCCTCCCTCGTCTCCGGTCTTCTTGACTCTGTCTTGACACCGGGCTCGGGCGAGGGAGGAGGAGAGAGTGTAGGTAGATGCAGCGCAAGTCTGCCCGCACTATAACCCCCTGCGCAAGTCACCGTCCCTGCTCCCACCGTTGCAGCTGTAGCTGTGGGGCATACGGTGGACATCATCGAAATCGATGGTCGAACTGCCACAGGGACAGCTAATCGCCGGACACCCTCCTCCTCCTTCCCTAAGCCCCAGACGGAACTAGAATCTGACCACTGACCTCTGAACGCTCCTCGACTCTCTCCCATATTGACTTTTATTGGGTGTGTAGCTTTTGCCATTCTGCCCGCTCCTATATCACAGTGCAGGCCTGATGATGAATAATTGAAAGCGTACGTTTGCCGGAGTAGACTTCTTAGATTTCCATTTTGCCTTGGAGCTCTGAGTCTAGAGCCCACGCAAGCCATCGCGTAGTGGTAGGGTGCTACCTAGTGAAGCCCTTTTGCTCGGAATCTTGTTCGACCATCTTCGTTTCTAAAGGGCATTTGTCACCACATAACTAGGCCATACGGCTTCTTTCAGAGCCATAATACTATCACGGTTGGCTATGCCCACTTTGTTCCATACTTTTCACACGCAGATAGGCTAAGTATGTCCCTCCCCCCACTGTTTGGGCAAAAATTGAGCATTAAGGAGGAGGAAGGAACACGCGACGCCCTACTATGTGCTATTTACAGAAAACAAGAACTACCCGCTCTGCCAGCGAATATGACTTGTCTAGCTTCGAAGGGAGACTGCGCTTGCAGCTCGCAGTGTATGTGAGTCTTCCGGCTTCTTTTCGAGTCTATTTTACCAGAACACCTGATTTCGCGCAGGTAGTACCCACGGCGACATTATTATTCCATGCAGCCTGTCAGAAGTGGGACAGTAGTGTGCTTTGGTTCTAGACGGGTGACAGAATGGAACGCGAGCAGACGATCCCCTCACCTTCTGGCATCAAAAGGCTGCGCTAATCCATTTTACACCGACTGTAGCCTGATGACCCATGCGTTTTGTCTCTCATCGACACTACAGTACGAGGAAGTTAGACTAGACTTTTTTGGGGAGTAAGCTACTTTGGCAATACTGCGAAACGTTTAACGAGTCATGCTAGGCTAGCCGATCTGAGATTTTTGAATGAGTTGCATTAGTATCCACTTGTTAGACCCCAGCATTGAAAAGTCACAGGCTTTAAAATTAGTCGAAAATTGAAAATCAATTTGATCGCTTGATTCTTCACATGACTTATTTCCGCGACACACTGGCTCCCCGTAGAGGGGCTTCTCCACACCTACGATACTCTCACAGCGCATAGTTCCCCGCGTCGTTTTTCAAGGCGTTTATGATTCTTGGTTCATTGTGCATGTGATTGACTAAGATTCACTTGCGACTTCTGCCTTGTATGTGATTGCCTAAGAGCACCGTTGATCGCCTTGTCGGTCCAGCTTGTAGAAGATGCCATTTTCCCTTGCTTGTTTGCTTAAACCACCTCACAATCTGGATGCTTTGGACAGTGCTTTCGACGATTATGTATGCCATGTGGATGATCATCGTGGAGGACATGAAAAGTGCCAGTTGTATTCGAAAAGCGGACCCAACAACTTGACCGTCATATAGGCCTTTTCCTGTCTGTCTGGGATTCCTAACCCTTAAACATAGTCATGTTTGTCGCTTTCCGTGTTGAGCCTCGAGCCATGTGAAAGTGTATGCTTGCGTACTGTCCACCCCTTTTTTGCGCAGTTTGTAGCCGTGACCTCACTGCTCCTTTTAAGTCAAAGCGGATTCTAACTGCTCTGCTCTCGTTAACACAGCTGGGGTGTAGTTACTCCTTTTCAGACAACTCTTGAGGGTTTTTGCCGAATTCACACGGAGCACCACTGTTTTACCTGTCGGTTGCCTCTAGTGTGCGAGTGTTTTCTGACATCGCACCATGGGAAACGAATAATATTTATTCGGGCCATCTAGAGGCAAATTGTTCCGCTCGTAACAACAACAGATTCTGGTGGTGAGTTTTTGCTTGTTGCATTGCAAACACACGTACCTAGCCATGAATACTGTCATTTCGATCTTCAGAGACCTTTGAGCAAGGTTTAGCGCTAGACACACTCCTTGTTCGGGACCGCGGTTTTCGTCTCTGAACTTGTGGGAGTTTCCTCTTCACCTGCCCTAGCAGTTTAGCTAAGTCATGCGCCGCCGAGTTATGGCGATTAAACATCACTTGATCTGGGCGAACAGTCAGCCGTCTTTCCTCATTGAGTACGGCACTTGTCCGTCCTAAGAGAAATCATGCAACCTTTGTGATCAATTCTTCAGTCTCTCACCCAGCAACTGCATGCGCAAGTTTCAAGGGGAGGGATGGTCAAAAGTAGAACCCCTGACTGAAGATATCAATGGCCCTAAATCTTGGTTTACCACATATAACTTCACTTTGGTCCAGTCGCCCTCACAGTAATCGGGACTGCCGCTGTTCTTTAGCATGCTTCGCCCCAGGAACAAGATTTTTTGGGTGAGCAGGAAATACGAATCAGCCAAAGACAAGCCGGATAAAGCAGACCCTGCAATCGTTATATACAACTTATCCAACTTCCTAATTGCTGCTACTTCGTTTCTCTGTCTTCTCCCCCACTTTCGGCTCCCCTGTTTGTGCCCTGCCCGGGGGCTAGCGAACCGGGCCCTTACCGTGTCTGTTTGCTTGAGTCAAAAATTTCATAAATTGTCATTTCGAATGCTACAATCCCCGCCCCTTTCGGCATTGCTCCGGGTACCGAAGTTCGACATCCCGATCTCCGTTTGTGCACCTGCGAAGGCGCTGTTCTGCGTTTTTGCACCTTGCCTTGCTGCTACATGCTGCCTAGAAGTCCACAGCCTCTGAAGTTGTTTTTTTTCTCGAATGTACTCGTGCATGCCCAAGCGATCACTAGGAACGCTGTCGTCCACCCTTTGCCGCCAACACTGGAGGAATGAGCGTTTTCGTGACACTGTTGGTCCCAATATCTTGACATCTGCACAACTGAAACGTCCCTTTAATTTGACTGTTTTAGAGCCTCGCTAGACACGACTCTCTCCGGAGCCGAAAATACCAGCACAGGCACCCGCGGAACGTCTGACCTGCCTTCCGACTTCCACATGGAATGCATCGTTGGGAACTAGACCTTTGTGTCTGCCCTGCAGTCCACCTCACCTCTGTTTATCCCTCCATATCAGACTTCCTTTCGCACATGTGACTCCCATACCTCTATATTATTTGTGTACATATATCATCGTCTGTGTTTGCCTGCCTTCGTGTAGACGCCTGAGATGGCATTTGCCTATTTTTAAGAGCTCATCAGAGGGCTACTTTTCTGCCAACATCTTACCAACCCTTCCCCCTCCTCCCATAACTAGTTTTGTGTTGATATCAGGCGCAATGTTTACTTGAGTTCACACCCCTCATAGCCCATCGGATATTTCTGCTCAACCTCCAGCCTCTCTTGATGAGAGGTCGCCCATTTGTTTTGTGACTGTACAGATCTTCCCTGTATAAGGGAGAGAGAGAAAGAAAAGAGAAACTCCAGCATTTGCTTTGTGGCGCAAAGTGAACGTCCACCGTTCCGCCCTGTTTCCTTTATTTTCTTCCGTCATGGTCGGAATGAAAACCCACTCCAGCTGACTCTTGTTATGGCATGCTTGCAGGAAAATATTGCATTTGTGAACCCAAAACCTGGTATCGATTGATTGAGTCTTGGGTCTATAACGCCTGAGGCCGACTCGTTATATTAGAGACGCCTAATTTCTGTTCGGTTATCTTTTTCATCCTGTCAGAAAGACGGCGGTTAAATTTTAACCGAATCTCTAGAAGAATAGGGAAAAAAGCTGTTTTATCAGTCCACTTATTTGAACCTTATTTCATTTTCGACTTTAATCGGCTGTGCCGGAGAGCGGATCCAATTGTTCAGCGGCCCTCCTCCGTTTGACCACTTTTGCTGTGCTCAGGTGATTTCTATGTGACATCACGCGCCTTAATATATGCTAATGATGGTTAATGATGTCTTCACACCGAGAGGGAATGAGGCACCGCACACATGAGGACGCTTCAACGTCATAGTTTCTATTGCGGGACCGTCTTCACTGTGCATCCCCTTGGATATGGGCTGTTCATCGGGAACTGCGGATGAATTCCTGACGTGCGTATGCGCGCTACCCCGCTCCCCATGGATGGCGCACTCCGCGACCAGCCTTATTGCACAATAAGGCAGTAATATGTCTCTTTTGCGTGTCGCTGTGGTAACATCGCTTGCGCACTTCAATTTTTAGACGCGCATTACCTGTACGCTCAGTGTCGACCCAAGGAGAGTAAACAGCGAGGCTAGGGCTGAAAGTTCCCCAGTGATCCCTGACTTAGGGTCTCACGCTGCTTAATCAGGCTGCTGCGGAATGAAACGAAAGTGACCGGGATGGTAGTTTTCGTCTTGCCCGTTTCCGAATGTTTAAGCTAACTGTCTTCATGACCACCAGCAAGTTTTACAAGGCGAAAGCGTGAAGACCACACCCTGCTCTAGAATGTGAGTTACATCAGCGAGCTGCTCGCAGTGTTGTTTTTCCTGACGTCGGTGCGCCGATCTAAAGTACAATGGGCGGTATACCAGGTTCGGTCTGTAATTGCAGCAAATGACTTGGATGACAGCCGTTAGCAGTTACCGCTTTGATTTTGCACAGCTAATCCCTTATGCCAAAGGAATTGAGGGGCTGTTCGAGTCTCGCACATCTGAAGGCTAACCACACTGATAAAGGCGAAAGAGGGGTTGCCACGTAGGTGATTTCGCAAAAGCTATCGACAGGGGACAAAATTTAGCATCAGTTCATGTATGCGAGCGTACCGGTAAATGTTCCTGTAGTCACTCACGTTGTACTTGGAGGGATGTTCCTTCCTGTATGGATTCTCGAAGCTTACATATGCTCAACTATGTCTCGCACAGAGGGTGCGCAAGGACTCGTGCTTTATGAGAAGTTACATATTCATTTCAGCTTTTAGAAGAGCACAATGATGAGGATTTTTGCGAGGCCTGCAAAGCACTCAGTGTGATTTGTGTCCACTGCTAAATGAAACGCTTTGCAACACCGGTGGCCGTGTAAGGTCGGCACACTCGTCACTTTTTGTCTATGTACATTCATTGGCTGATCTGTCGAACCAGCGCTTGATTGAAATTGTGATCGAAAACCTTGTGGCCCGTCGACACCTGGCAAAGCCGCACAGTGGCGCACCATTTCAACCTCTCCATTCACGCAAGAACAGTCCTTAAAAGACAGGTCAGGTCACCGTTTCTGGTAGCTCCAACTGGCAGGAGAGTCAAGACGTTTATACTAGGACTTTAAAGCATGGGGTATAGGCTGCATACGCAGCCAAGTTTCCTGTTCATCTGGAGAGAAATGACAACCTGGCGGTCATGGAAGGCACAGAGCGTCCGACTGTTTGCATCCGTGATCGTCGTACCTGTGGAGGGCTGAATCAAGCTCAAGGGCTCCTTATCATGGTCCTTATAGCACTCGCGTATGTGAAATCCAAGCCGAGCACTTCTTTTGTGTGACGACCTGGTGTGTTTTGCGGGAGACCAGATCGTGTGCGGCACACACAGACGAACCGTCTAGCCCTGCTGTCCAATCCCCGCATCAGATGACTGTCCGGTTCGGATAGCGTACTAGTGCCCGAGCGAGAAAGAAGCTTTAGGTCCTCTTGGAGATTGTCCGCACGGCATTTGGCACATATTCCTCACTATAAACAATCTAACGCGCTTTTAATCTAACAAGGTGCTCCAAATCCGTGGCTTGGAAAGCAGTCGGCTGATGAAATAACTCGGTCTTCTCAGGACAAAAGGTCCTTTTGACTCTGTCTTGACACTGGGCTCAGATGGGTAATGGGGTAGAGGGTGCGGTAGGTGTAGCGCAAGTCTTCCACCGGCAGTCACCGTCCCAGCACCTGCGGGGCACATGGTGGAGATCGTCGTTTGCGGCGGTCGAACGGCCATCGGAAGTTTGTTGGTTTGGCAACATGCCATGCATGGGTGACAAATAGATATGAGAATGGGAGTCCGAGGTCCTTGTTGAGAGGCCTTTTTCAGAGGTGACATCAGACCAGACCCATTTTCTGACCGCACTTTCGGTGAGGTTCGACCGTCCACATGCTTGGAACTACCAGTGGCGAAATAATGACCCAAGTCGCACGATTGTCATCTTACCTGTCAGTGCCAATAGGAAAGTGTAAACACCCACTCGGAGGAGGCACTGAAGACGCGTCGAGTCACTTGCATGACACTAATCCAGCGTCCCTGAAAGCGATATTGCCTTTGCATGTGACGCTACTGTCAACTGATTCGGTTTAGAGGCCGCTCGATGAGAGGCTAGACCGCGTAGGCGTGATAGATCGTCTGTGAGCTTGGTGCACATGATGGTTGCTCCGCCAGACCCTTAACTGACGCCCATATCTCATCTGTGTCTTCCCGAAGATACGCTCTGCTTAGCGGCCGGACCCCGGTATCATCTTCGGCCGGTAAGTCAAAACAGATTAGGATGTCAGGCGAGTGTCCCTCCACACCCGGCTATCTCCTGTACTGTCCCACCATCTCCTCTCCCAACCACAGAATAGCTTAGGGAAGAGGTGGCAGCGGCCTCGTAAGCAGATAAAGATAATTCGGGCCCTCATCCCACCGAACAAAATTTCAGCCAATAGTGGGACTCGATAGCCGCCTGCATGAAAAAGCAGCCCTATTTAGGAGTAGAAACGCCTACTACCTCGCAAGTGAAGGGTCTAGAAAAGGTACCCAAAACAAACGCTGAATAAACACGACGTCTGAAAGCTGGCCCTGCCTTATGGGATGAAAAGTACAGGGTTGAAACAAACCCCCGTCTTTGTTCCCAATGCCTCCCCCAGTCTACCAGAATGAGCAGCGTCGCTATGGCAACCTGGAATATTCGTTCTCTTTTTAAACAACCCGCTAGGCCACCTGTCAGAAAGAAGATCAGCTTTAGTCTCCCAAAAGCCGTCGCGCTACGAGGCGAACATTGCAGCCTCAGCAAGATCCGGTTCTGCATCTGAATCTATCTGGGAAAGGTGGGTACCGATTACACCTTTTGGAGCGGACCACCCACATGCTGGAGTCGTCTTCGCTGTCAAAAATGAATTTTTAGCACTACTGCCTTGTCTACCGCAGGATATAAAATATTGTCTCATGAGTTTCTGGCCACCTCGTTGCGGGAATAAAGTCGCCCACACTAGCCGGTGACCAATTACAATAATTTTAACTCCACTTAAGACCCGAACGCCCTCCCAGCGACTGCGCTGATGCCGGAGAAGTAAGCTGGCCTGGTTACTTCAGTACTTGTGTCACACAAACTAAATCTGCGAGGGAGTGCTCGTCCGCCATAGGCTCGGCAACTGTAACAGCAGTGACTTCTCCTCCTGCAGAGCTGTGCGTAAGACGATCCTCTCTTGACCAACACCTTCCCTCTTCCGATTCGGGAGAGGGCGACGTGGGTGCGGCTCCAACCGGCAGCTACTAAGCTACGTCCATGTTTGCAGGTGTGACTAGCATGCCGTGCAAGCGACAAAGGCGATGTGTAATGCTGACTGCCGAACAGGCCCCTGTCCTGCATTTTAGGAATGAGACTCCTACTGTAACCCCCTCCAGCGTTGGCAACGTACGCGAACATCAGGTAGACTGCATACTGTATTACTGGGGATTACTGGACGCTGAATAGCCTTTAGCAATCGCTTGAATTCCCGTGTGAAAAAAGACAGCTCCGAAATCGAATGCCACGGTTGAGACACGATGGTGCCAACTAAGGGAACGTCATCCAGTCTATCGTTCTGGAAGTCTTTGATCGCCCCTGGTGCAACAGCAAAGTTGAATAAATACACAGGTTCGGGAACCGCAATGAAATGAAGGAAATCTTCGCGTCCATCATGGCAATCAACGACCACTAATTCAAGGTGACCGTATTTCTGTTCAGTTCTACTGAAACAACCCTGCTGACAGAAAAGTCGAAAATTCTGGAGCGCAAGACTGAGCTCTCCCAAGGCCTTCTGAACTGATCTTCCACGATATTCCAAGAACCATCAACAAGTTCCCTCAAA